AAAAAAAAAAAAATCGCCTCAGATGTTCCGCTCCTATCTCCGCGCATTTAACCCACAATGGAATTGCATTTTCTTCCGCTGCTGGAGAAGTAGTGTCTTCCCTTCCCCCCTCGTTAAGGAAAGGGGGTGTCTACGGCATAGAAAATCTAAGACCAGATTGCCGGCTTCCGCCACGGATCCCTTCAGCTTTCTTGCCCTCTCCTAGTCGGAGCCAGGGACTGAGCCCTTCAATTCGGCTTCCCTCTATAAATCAGTGCATTTCACTGTCCTCATCACCTTCCCTTTTCCTAGAACAGACAAAAAGTACTTAATTCCACAAAAGTTCATTTAAAGCCTTCTAGGAAGCGGGAAGTGTGAGAATGTACTTAAAATGAGGGTCTTTCTTTCCACTGTGTTCTTTAATTCTAGGCCTCTTGTCTTCCCCCCCCCACCCAACCTTCTGACCTATTAGTTTCACAACCCCACCCCCCAGCTTTTGCGCTCTGGACTCTACTTTCCCTCCCCTCCCGGACCAGAGCCCGAGGGCCGAGGAGCTTTCGGTGACCCTGTGCTGGTCAGGGGGCGCTAGAAGAGGCGGGAGAGGGGAGTAAACAGTAACCCATTCGGCGCCAGGCTAGATAATTCCATCACATTCCCTTAACCCCTACTCCCATCCCCCTGGGGCCTGAGGCCCCCACCTTACCTGGAGTAAAGCCGAATTCCCGGGAACCGGTCACCTCTGACTCTGGGGCAGGGGCGTTTCACTGTTTGCTTTACAAATTTGCCCCTGATTTTCTGGCCCGATAAATCCCAGGTGAAGAAAGAGCATGGGGCCAAGCAGATAACGAGAATGATTCTTGGACTAGATATCCCCTGCCTGGTCACTTCTCCCTCCACCCCCTCCACACACCCCACCCGAGTTTTCAGGCCCAGGCCCTTGCCAATGGGGACCAAGGGGACTAGGTAGAGACGCCAGGGATAAAGATGACTGGTGGGCGAGGCCCTGGCCACCTTCCTCGATCTGGGGATGTTTTTTCTGACCCCGAATCTGTCCTGACTCAAGGGCACAGACAGTACCCACTAACTCTACATCTACTTGTTTTGAGAAAAATCAGAATTAGTCTCTCTTCCTACCCCAAGCAGGAGGGTATATGCAGTGTAAATAAATTACCTGTATGCAGGGGGTGTCAGAGTGTACCGCTGTCTTTTGATGTAATTGTGGGCACGTGTTTGAGTTTGGGGTTTGTAAAAAACATCTAGTAAAGCGATTACTTAAAATGTGCAGTGTGTCTGTGTGGAATATACGCTGTGGTCTGTACGTGTATGTTTATTCATTATATTATGGATTGTATTATTCATTATATCCATTATATTATGGATCTATTTTTCGTGTCTCCGTGTTGGTATACGGGGTCCGTTAATGGATTTAAATGGTTTTATATTTTGTTGTATATTCTGGAGGGAAACATTCATGTATTTAAACAACTTTGCCTCTTTGTTTAAACAATTTTGTTGTATGTTCTGGGGTCCGTGCAAGTGTTTAGACAACTTATCTGAAAACTTTGTGTCTCTTGTCTATTCTGAGATCCATGAATGTATTTAAATGACATTGGGTCTTTTGGTCATACATTCTGGGGTCCATACATATGTTTCTTCGATAATTCCTACTGTCAGTGTTGCGTATGCTGTGATCGATGCAAAGCATGTTGCATTTGAGTGTATTTGTGTATGCGCGAGCGTGTTTGTGTGCCTCAATAACTCAGGCTTCTGTAATAGGAGTAGCCCGGGAGCTGGAGCCGGCAGCTGTGGGTGCCTTTCTCCGTCCTAGCAACTCCCAACGTTCCCGGGCCCCGCAGGCGAGGCGCCCACGCTGCGCTGCGGAGGGCGCGGCTGCCCGGCGGAGCCGTGCACGTGGGGAGAAGCTAAGAGCAAGCGGGGGCAGAGTGGAGCCGGAGCCCTCGCCGGCGCCGGAGCCTCTCCTAGACTGAGCCCGGCCCCTGCGCCGCGCCGCGCTGGGTCTGTCCCTCCCTCCCTCCCTCCCGGTCGGGCACAGCTCCCCCTCGCCCTTCTCATCCTTCCTGCCATTGTAGGGAGAGGCGGCGGCGAACGCTGCAACCGCCGCCCAGCTTAGTAGCCCGGAGCGGGCCAGATCTCCCCCGCCAGGCCGCCTGGAGTGAGGGGAGAGGAGGTAAGACTCAGGGCGGCTCTAGCTGGCCTTGGAGCCGGCGGAGCAAGCGGCAGCCGCCGAGGAGAGAGGAAGGAAGGCGCGGGCGGCCAAAGTCCTTCCCTCGGTGCCTGCCTGCCTGCCTGCCTGCCTGCCTTCCCCCGGCTCCCAGGCTTTCTTCCTCTCCTTCCTTCCTCGGCCCTTCCTCCTCCCTCTGTCCTGGGGTGGATGAATGAGACTTTTCAGGCAGCAAAAAAGAAAAAAAGAAAGAAAAAGAAAAGAAAGAAAAAGGGGCAAGCCAGCGAGGAATCAAGAGCTCAGGGGGTTGCGGGTGATTTCTCCTCGGATAAGCCACCTAGAGGCGACTTCGTTTTTGTCTCCCCAGTGGCTCTGCTCCCTCCGCCCTCCCCCCTCTGATCCTGTTGACAATATTCACACGGCAGAGAGTAGTAGAGATGCTTCGCTACAACATTACAGTTTCCGACACCTTTTTATAACTCGGCTCGATCCCCCTCCACTCGACCTGTCAAAACCACGCCTATGGAGCTACACAATTGGTCCGAAAGCGTCAAAGAGCCAATCAAGAAAGCTTGAGCTTCCTCGCAGCTCACAACACATCCGCACGATCTGGCGCAAGTCGAGCAGACTCACAGGGATTTCTTGAGGCTGAGGGTGTCTCTCGTACAGCTCTCTCTCTCTCTCTCTCTCTCTCTCTCTCTCTGTCTCCGGCTCTTTCTCTTTCTCTCCCTCCCTCTCCCTTTCCCCCACCCCTTTTCTCTCTTATTCCCTATCCCTTTCTCTCTCCCCTCCTTCCTTCCCCCCTCCCCTCCTCCTTCACTTTTTCTAGCCAGGACTGAAATCCACATTATTGCAAGGAAGAGGAGAGACTGGGGGGAGGGAAACGCAAGCAAGGCTCATTGAAACTGAACCCCCAACCGAAGCTTAGGGGGGAAGGAGAGGGAGAAGAACGGAAGCCCATTCGCAGCTCGAGTTGGGTCCTAGCTTTTTGTTGTTACAATAATAATTTTTTTTTGCGGGGGGGATCTGTTTTTGAGTGAGTGTTGTCTCTGTGTGTGTGTGTGTATGCAATTTTCCCCTCCCTTCCTCGCTCGCTTTCTCTGTCTCAGAGCAGAGATCTAAGTCGAATTGAAGAACAGAGAGACAGAAGACGGGAAGCAAAAAGGAGGAAAAGCAAAATTGCAGCATTTGCCTACGGAGGTCCAGTCCCATCTTCAACCAAGGAAGACTGGGCCCCGGGAACCCAAGATTCCCGGAACTCCAAGCTCAGCGATTCTAGATCCGAGAGCCGAGAAAGCAGTACTCGGGCTGGCCGAGGAGAAAGCCAGAAACCCCAAGGACTATCTGCTCTTGCCTCCCAGTGAAGGCGGCCGGGAGGGACGTGCCACGACCAGTGGAAAAACAGGACCCAGGGGTGCCCACCGCCCTGAGTGATTATGCCTCATCTTGGAAGTTTTTAGAAAGCAGTCCCCCACTCCTCCTTTACGAAATATAGACTTAATCTAAAACATCTCTCTCGTCCCCACCATCTGAAGGAGGTGATTCTGGGTTCCTGTGGGGTCTCCCTTCTTTTAACGATGTACTATTAAAAAGAGGGAGGGGGCACCTGAGTGAGGACTCGAGTGCAACAGCCCGAGCCCCGATCCCAGTCAGCAGAGCGGCGGCTGAGCCTCCCCATGAGAGAGCCGGTCATCCCTGGGACAAGCATGGCTTACCACCCTTTCTTACCTCACCGGGCTCCGGACTTCGGCATGAGCGCCGTGCTGGGACACCAGCCTCCCTTCTTCCCGGCTCTCACCCTGCCTCCCAATGGGGCTGCGGCGCTCTCACTGCCAGGGGCTCTGGCCAAGCCCATTATGGATCAATTAGTCGGGGCCGCCGAAACCGGCATCCCCTTCTCCTCCCTGGGTCACCAGGCGGCGGCTCATCTGAGGCCTCTGAAAACCCTGGAGCCCGAGGAAGAGGTCGAGGACGACCCCAAGGTCCATCTAGAAGCCAAGGAGCTTTGGGAACAATTCCATAAAAGAGGGACCGAGATGGTGATCACCAAATCCGGAAGGTAAGCGGCTGAAATTCTGACTTCTGAGGCTGGGTCTTTGGGTTTCTTGTTTTGTTTTGTTTTTGGTTATTATTGGTTTCCCCCCCCCCCCCCCCCCCCAAAGCAGTCTTGTGAGCCTGTGTGCTTTCAGCTGCCTCCGGAAAAACTTGCCTCATCTGGAATTATGCGCTTCTATAGACTACTGCTTACTTTGCAGACTGAACTGCAGGAAATCCTAAGACTACCTGCCTCTCACACACGTGCATGCATTCTTACTAAGAAAAAAATGTTCCCTGTCTTTGTGTGTCTGTGCGTGTATGCCTGTCTGTAGACAGTCCTATCTACTATTGTGGGCACTATTTTACAGATATCTTTAAAGAAGAAAAAATAGTTTGTTTGGTTTTTTTTTTTTACTTGTGTAGAGAGTACTCAGCTGTCTCCTTTCTGAAATGTGCTAATTGCTATTTTCTAATCTTTGAATTCAGAGAGAATAACTTTAGGCTTATCGTCTCCTATGGGAGCTCTTAGCGTGCGTTTATAGTCTAAAGACTGTCTCCCTCTGTGTCCGGAATCTTGCCCCCTAGGTTCATAAGAGGCCTAACTGTATATACTTGGGCTATAGAAATGTATTCCCACATCAATGAGAGAAACTGATCAAAGATATTTTAGTTTGCACACTCACATGTTTGTAATCAGAGAGAAATAAAGAGTTCAGCAGGCAAGGGGGGGAGCGTAATTAGAATTATACAGTTAGGCATATGTCCTACAACATATGGGGGAAACTAACCTTCCCAGAGAGCTTTGTAGATTTTGCAGAGATCACCTGAACAAACTCTGGCAAAGGCTGGGGGGGCCCCTGTGATTTTTATGCTGTACCTTTCTGCTACTTAAAAGAAAATAAAAGAACGGCATTAAAGCTGGGGGGGGGGGAGAAAGAAAGAAAGAAAAGAAACCTTGATCCATAGTTCTCACAATCCTCTGTCTCCTTGCTCATTGTGGTCAGAAGTTTTACTTGGAAAACCTCGGCCAAAAAAGTAGGTGCCTTCTTATTTGTTACCAGGTCATGTGTTTCCTTTTACGCCAGGATCGCCGAACGCCAAACTCTTGGACATAATAAACAGCAAATTTGTGGTATCCTGTCGCAGTTTAAAACTGGACATAGCAGCGGGGGGATGTGGTCAGCCCTGCGCTGCACAGATGGCCAAGTGCTAGAAAATGGCATTTTCTGAATTCGTTGTGGGAGACTCCAGGAACAGTTACCCTTCCCTATGTCAGCAGGCTCCAAAGTGCATTTTCCATGGGGAGATAATTTTCCTCAGGCCCAATAACCTCCTGAAAAAGAGTGATTTCCCCACACACACATACATGTACTCCCTTCGGTCACTTGTCTGATGGTAGAAGAGGCCACCACATTTTTTCATTCTCTCCTACTCCATTGTTTGAGAAGATAATTTTTTTTAATTAAGTGAGGCTAATTTATATATGTATTATATATATATACATATGTAATAATAAATTTTAAAAATTCCTTTTTCCTGGTTGTCGGACAAAATGAAGCAGACCCCTCTTCCCAGATCCCTTTTCCTGCCTTGAAGAAATCCCCCAGTCACCAAAAGCTTTCCTTTGAAATATTGAGGAGTAATTGATCTCGGAAACTCACGAATTTGTTCTGGTCTATCTCTTCTAGGAGAATGTTCCCTCCGTTTAAAGTGAGATGTACTGGGTTGGATAAAAAGGCCAAGTATATTTTGTTGATGGACATTGTAGCTGCGGACGATTGTAGATATAAATTCCATAATTCCCGGTGGATGGTTGCGGGCAAGGCTGACCCTGAAATGCCCAAACGAATGTACATTCATCCCGACAGTCCTGCGACAGGCGAGCAGTGGATGTCCAAAGTGGTCACTTTTCACAAACTGAAACTGACCAACAATATTTCTGACAAACATGGATTTGTAAGTTTCCCTCCGAGTTACATATGAGGATTTTGTTTGTTTTTAATTCTCTTTCCCTACCTCTTCCAGAAGGCCTCCCTTTTCCTCCCCGGCCTTCTGTCCCCGAATAATGAAAGCTGCCTTCTCAGATCTTAAAACTTGAGGCGCCCCCTCAACAAGAATCTCTCAGCATTGCCCAGAGAGAATGGAGGGGGCACAGAAAAGATCTGGCTGACCTAGGAAAGGGAGCCCTTACCCAGGCAGCCCAGTAAATTCCCGACCTGTTGTATTTGAATGTTAAAGACTTGGTGCAGCCGGTTGATTCGGTTTTTAAAAAATCTATTGTTATTTAAAATCCAAAACCAAACCACTCTTTACCCACAGTTTCATTTTCAAATTTAATTTTCCCCATTATCATTTTGCTGAAATCAATTCTCTTCTCTAACAAAATTTTAAAAGCTTGATTGCTGAAAAAGTTTAATTGGTATGTCTGGTTAGCTGGAGGTTTTTTTTTTTTTTTTTTTTTTTTAATAAAGAATGGGATTTGACGAAAGCCAGTTTCCTGGGTTGTCGGGAAAGGCAGAAAGAGATCTCCTGAAGTTGGGTGAAGAGAAGAATTAAAAATGATTCTCGGAGAATGTGAAGTGCCCCTTGTTTTCCCAAGACCCCCAATTCCATTCAACTAATAGGCTAAGTGCAAAATGGGGTGAAGATTTCTGGAGCTCTAGGGAGATGTGTCTGGCCTAGAAATCTTTGGGGAGAGTGCATTTACTACCCTTACTTTGATTAGCAGATAAATGTTCCTCCCTGGATTTCAGCCTTTTAGAGGCTTTAAGCCAATTGGGACAGTCAATTAGTGAGAACTGAAGTCAATAATCTTTTTATAAATTAAATACATTTTCATCTTTTATCTTTTTAATGGTATTTTTTTCCTTTGGACCCCTAAAGTGGGTTTGCTGGGGATATGGAGTTTAGGTACCTATGCATGTAGAACACAGGACATGCAAGTTTTGTATACATAGGGATATCTGGATATTGGTAGTGGAGGTGGTCAGCAAGTCATTGTCCTAATGAATCTATAAATTAAAGTCAGTCTACCTGGGCTTTGTACCTAGGAGGGTGCACACTGGCAGTATTGTTTGGGATTCCAAAGCCCCTGGGATTCTTCTCGGCACTAACCATTCCTTCTCTTTCTCCTCTTTCCTCTTTGCAGACCATTTTAAACTCCATGCACAAATACCAGCCTAGGTTCCACATTGTTAGGGCCAATGATATCCTGAAACTTCCCTATAGTACATTTCGGACGTATGTGTTCCCTGAGACAGAATTCATCGCTGTGACCGCATACCAGAATGATAAGGTAATAGAGAATTTGGGGGGGAGAAGGTATAGAATTAAAAAGGGGGAATTCAGGGAAGTGCTATTCAGGCTTTCTTTTGATGTCATTTGACTTTGTAAGGAGGCCAGTCTTAGTGAAAAGAGTGAGCACTCCTCTGCGTAGCCAACAGCCAAAATTTGCTTGGGTTAAAGGGTAGAATGATCTAAAGAAATCCACTTTACATATGACTCTCATTCTGTCCTTATTAGAATTTTTAGGTTGTTCCTTCCCAAACCCAATGTTGACTGGCTAACCACAGGGAGGGAAAGGTCTCTATGTGAAAATATAAAATGGGTCTTCTTGGGTCTTTAGCCTAAAACAAGCACAGAATAGCTTCCCTTTCCCCTGCTGTCCCACAGCTCCGAGTAGCTTTCTGGTCTGGTTCTTATTATGTTTTATCCTGCCATGATTTTATTATTATTATTATTATTATTATTATTATTATTATTTTCTCTGTGTGTGGTAGGAGGAGGATGGGAATGCCCATCTAAAAAGCATTTTGATGTTGGGGGTACTCTGAGGTGTGGTCAGTCAAGTGGGGATTGTAGCATGAGATTTTTACTACCTTGGCCCTAGTCATCGGGAAATATTCCAGGCCCACTTTGCAGACAGTTGGGGAAGGTGAACTCAGAAGGCTGAATGTAACACAGAGGAAACAAAGCCGGGTGCTGATTGAAGATCTCCCAGATCAGCCTCATTCTTCCATGACCCACAAGTAGGAGTCATTAAAAAAAAAAATTGTTTTCATGGAATCACCCACTAATCTTTTTTCATGATAGATGGTCAATCATGCCTTGCACGTATCAGATGCTTAATAAATGTTTGTTGGTTTCATTGACTTGACATTTGCCATAACACGGCCCCTGGCCCCTGTGGGCTAGAGCTGAGATTGGAAGGGAGGAATGCAAGGCCATTGACTGGGTGTCCTAATGGTGGGTGTTTATTGGAACTGAAAGGCAAAGGGCTTTAGTTCAGTTCGATTTCTCCAGAAACCAAGATCCGACCAATTTTCTCTCTTACCATTATAAGAAAGTTGCCCTTTATACCTAGAGAACAATTTGGAAAGGAAGCTTTGTCAGACACTTTTTTTGGGGGGGAGGCAGTGTAAACCTTCTTTGGCAAAAAACAACTTCTTAGTTGCTCCTTGGACTCTGGATTTGTGTTGGGTAGTTAATACTAATACTAATACCAATAATAATATTAAAGCTTTCTATAAAGTACATTGCAATTAGCAATATTCCTTGGCAATGTAGACAAGTGGAAAATTTTGTTTACAATCATGACCTCTCCCCACCAAATTTCTATAAAACACTTTATGAGATTGGGTAGGGGCATAATTCACTTTACAATGAATTGCGGGTATATTTAAAAAAAAACAACAAAGTGCTAAATGGAAACATAATTTTTAATAGCTAGAAAGTTTTCTGTTTTACTTTTTTTTCAGCCTTCAAATGGACTTTATACTCCAGCTCCAGAACCATTTCCAGGCCACCTAATGCCTGAAAACTTACTTAGGGAATCTAGGTTGGGGAGGGGCTTGTCAAAGACAGTTTTGACTCTACCTTCCTTCACCCTCTACCTATCTCAGCTGAGTTCCTAACCCTGAACTAAGGAGAGTATGGAGGTGGGGAGGTCTGTTCGGCACTTCAGAAGAGTTTCAGAGATGAGGCAAAAGTTTTCCTACTCCTCTGTCCTCTTTTCAGATAACACAGTTAAAAATTGACAACAACCCCTTTGCCAAAGGGTTCCGAGATACCGGGAATGGCAGGCGGGAGAAGAGGTGAGTAAAGGAAATTGCTTCATAAGAAAAGCTTTGGGAGATCTTGAATTCCTATTTGGAGATCTAAAGTGTTTGTAAGGAGGCAATTGTGTCTTTTGACAGAGAGAATGCAGTCCCAGGAGGTTCTAGGGCCTTCCATCTTTGCCGAGAGGGGTGAACAGCCCCACCCAAATTTCAAAGGATATTAAAATCCATTTGGAAGCAGACTGAGGGTAGAGGGTCTGTTTATAAATCCTTTGTCCTAGGACACTGGAATTTGCCACAGTCCCATTAAAAAGCTTATCCAAGAAACATGTTGATCGAATCAGAAATTCCTGATTGACCTATCCCAGGGTACTGATTATGGACTTCCCAGTCCAGTCCTGGTGGGGTGGAGCTGCCAGTTCTAAGTAGGTTTGGACCCTTAAGTGAAAAAACAGAATCCCAACCTCCCCCTAGGACAAAATAGCCAGGGGGGTGGGAGGTGACATACCTAGGCTGAACGGTACTCTCTTGCTAAACTGAGCAGGGATTTTGCTGACCAGGAGTTTCCCTTTCTGATAAAGTCAAAACTTTTCTAAGTTAGAAGAACCTAGAATTATCTCTGTCTTTGGGGAATGAATAAGAGAGGGAATGGCAAGAAGAAAGCTCTTCCCTGCAGGTACCCAAAGGAAATTATTTCTAATTTTTTTGGCAACAGATTTTTTGTTCTTACACTAGGCTGATTGTTGGTGGAGAGACTGCACAGAGTGCAGGGAGAAATCACTTGAGTTCCTTACAATCTCAGCAACCATTAAGGGGCTTGATAGACCAAGGCTTTAATGACCCGACAGTCTGTCCTCCCCCCCCCATCTCTAGACTCAATACCGATTTCTCCTGCCTGTCTGCCTCCCCACCCCCATTAACCAAGGTGCTCTGGCCCTTATGCATGTCTGTTAATGAAATCTCAAGCCTTAATAAATGGAGGACAGCCACCCAAGCTTTCTTAAAAATCAACAACTCACTCTGTACAGTATCTTCCTCTCCCCTTAACTGGCAGCTGTGTTGATAGATGTTCAGACCACTCTGAGTTTAAGACACCTGAAGTAACTGGGCTAGGTGTTAGCAATATATATATTTATACATCCTCTGGAGTTACTGAGGGGCAAAAGCAGGCAAAAAAAACCCCTCCCGCCTAAAGTAATTTGCACTGTTCTGTCTACAGAAAGCAGCTGACTTTGCAGTCCATGAGAGTGTTTGAGGAGAGACATAAGAAGGAAGCCGGGACCTCCGATGAATCCTCCAGTGAGCAGACAGCTTTCAAATGTTTTGCCCAATCCTCTTCCCCAGCAGCTGTCTCCACAGTTGGTACGTCTAATCTCAAAGGTAGGTATCAAAGGGCCACTCCAACCCCTGAGAGCATCTCTGTCCCCTCATGGCACTTGGTAGTCAAAGATGGGCTTTTCTCTGCCTCTAGTGCCCTTCCTTAGTGCATTCCCCCAATCTTTTTTTCCCCACTTTGTCATGCCTCTCTCTCTCTTGACTGGCCCAGTCAAGAGACAAAGCGTTTCAGAGTTGTCCCTCACTGATTTATAACTATACCCCGATCTTCGAAAAGGGCCTGGAAGCCTTGTTCCCTTCCCCCAACAGATGTAAGAAGTCACGCTCCCCTCCCTCTACCCTCCTTGTCCCATGCTAGTGGATTTGTGCTGCTTCACCCCCTTCCTCCCCTCTTCAACATGTTCTCCCACACCAAGGCCATTGAAATTCTCCTTTGTGCATGCAGACCTAGATTTGAAAGATATTTGAGCACCTTGGAAATGGGGTGGGGGTGGGGAAGATGTTACAGGTAGGAGAGAGGGGGGAAAAAGGAATCTTTTCCACCTGGAGCAGAGGAGGTAGAAGCTCCAACCAAACTGAAAAGTCAGTCGGCCTGTGGGAGGAGGTGTACTGGGGGAGGGGCGGGGAGGGGAGGGAGATGAGATGGTTCAGGACCTGAACCGGTTTCCTGTGTTTAAAGAGCAGGCAATATTTATTTGGAAAGAAACACACACAGAGAGACACAACAGAAGAAACGTGTTTTCAAGGGAAATAAAATGAAAGAACTTTATATCTTTAATCCATTAAAATTTTCCAGTGTAAAATGGCTTGCAATGATATCCAGCTAGGGGTGTGCTGATAGGGAAATATAATTGTATTTGTTTAAACTGGGGGAGGTATGTACCTATTCTACAGGTCCTTTCCCCTCTCTAGGCCGCAGTTTCTTCTGTAAAATGAGACTGTCAAACTCGATGAATTCTCTAGGTCGGGGTGGGGAACCTGCAGCCTCCAGGCCACAAGTGGCCTTCTAGGTCCTTGGGTGTGGCCATTTGACTGAGAATTACAGAACAAATCCTTTTATTAAGGGAATACGGTCTGTGAAGTTTGGATTCAAAGTGCTGCGCTCGAGGACCTAATGGGCCACATGTGGCCTCGAGGCTGCAGATTCCCCACCCCTGCTTCTAGACTAGATCCTGGAGGGTTTGAATGATTCCCCCTTTCCCTAGTAAAGTGCCTTCCCACTACTCAAAAGAACTTTTCTTTGTTTTGTGTTTATGCATCTGTATACGTGGTGTTTCCTGTAGTACAAAGTAAGCACCTAGAGGGCAAGGCCTGTTATTTTTAATCCTTTTATTCAAAGTGCCTAACTGTCCTGACTCATAAATTCTGCCTGCTTAATAAATGTCTTTTGACACATTTCTTTGGTTAGTTTTAGAAAGTGAATTTGCCTCCTTGTGGAATTTCTGGGTTGAATTGGTGGTGGCAGCTGGGGGTAGGGGGTGCAGTTTGCAGTCTAATTGCAGGCTTATCACTGCATGGGTCTCACCCGGCCTTGTGCCCTTTCTCTCCTCTGCAGATCTGTGCCCTAGTGAGGGAGAGAGTGATGCTGAAAGCAAGGAAGAGCCCCCTGAGGCCAGTGACATGGGAAAAATCTCTACCACCACATTGGAGGAGCCTTCCAAAGACAAGGGCACCTCACCCTCCAAGGCCCACCTCTTCTCATCGGAGAGAGATCGAGATAGGGATCGGGACCGGGATAGGGATCGAGATCGAGACCGGGCCAGGGAAGGGGTACGGCTGGAAAAGAACTCCCCAGATTCTCGTCATAGCCCAGCTGCCATCTCCTCCAGCACCCGAAGCTCGGGCTGTGAGGATCGAAAGAGCCCTGGCCGGGAAGGGGTGCCCAAGGCCCCTGAGGAAGGGCGCCCAGTGCTCTCGGGAAAGGAGACCTTCACTCCTCTCACAGTGCAGACGGACAGCTCATCACACCTAAGCCCAGCTCACCTCCCGAACCTGGCCTTCCCCCCTGGCCTGGCTAGCCAACAGTTCTTTAGTCCCCTGGGCAATGGCCATCCTCTCCTCCTGCACCCCAGCCAGTTTGCTATGGGGGGAGCCTTCTCCAGCATGGCGGCTGGTGTGGGGCCCCTGCTGGCCACCGTGTCTGGAGCTTCCACGGGAGTCCCCGGCTTGGACACCACGGCCATGGCCACTGCAGCCGCCCAGGGACTATCAGGGGCCTCTGCAGCAGCCTTGCCCTTCCACCTCCAGCAGCACGTCCTAGCCTCTCAGGTAATTCTCTCCCTGGGTTTCTCTCTTTGTCTCTTTCTCTCCCCCCCCCCCCCCCCAAGCCAGCAGCTAGGTGGCACAGTAGATAGAATATTAGACTTGGAGTCAGGAAGGCAAATCCAGCCCACAAGATACATGACTCTGGGCAAGTCATTTAACCTCTTTCCTCAATTTCCTTATCTGTAAAATAAGGGTAATCATAGCACCAGGCCTAACCAGATTGTCATGAGAATTAAAAGTGCTTTGCAAACCTTGAAGAGCTATATGAATTCTAGCTGCTATCATTATTATTGCCACCCCTGGCTCAAATTGCCTCCCTGGGTGCCAGGCAGGGTTGAGATTACAGTAAGAGGGCACTCTTCTATCCTCCCAAGCATTAATTTTGGACAAGGCCATCCTGGGTTAAGAACAGCAACAGCTCAGATTTGGAGTGGGACCAGGACAAGGAAGGGAGCTGTCTGTGTGTGGGGAGGGCAGCCGTACCCGGGGAGGAATGGGCCTTGGGCAAGAGAGGGAAAGGAGTGGGGAGTCAGTGAATCAGAGCAGGCTGCCGAAGTTCAGTAGAAGCTTTATTTGGGAGGAAGGAGTTTCAGCTTCCTTTTTTAACTGGCACTCATTTTTGTTCCTTCCTGTCCTGTCTGATATTTCTAAGGACCCTAGAAATGTGGAGGATTTGGGGGAGAGGGAGGGATGGAGGGATTGCTCTGTCAGCCTTTTTCCGGTAGAAATTGTGGACGTTGTGATGGAAAACACTGGACTAGGAGTTTGGTGACGGCCATTAAGCCTGGCTGTCACTCAGTAACTGTGCTATGGTAGGAGCTGTGGGTCTGCTTCTCCCTATTCTGTAAAATTAAGTTAGGCTAAGAAAAATTGGGCCCTCCACTGTCTGTATTCTAAGGTCCTCACCAGCTCTGGCATTTTCTGTTCTAAGGCGCCACCCACCTCCACCGGTCACTGTTCTGAGGTCTTCCTCACTTTTAACATCCATGTTCCCAGGTCCCTCCCAGCTCTGACATTCTATGTTCCGAGGGCCCTCCCAGTTCTAACATTTTATGATCTGAGGTCCCTCCCAGCCCTGATATTCTATGGTTTTGTTCTTGGCCCGCAACGTTTTCCCTTGGGATCTGGGTCCTTGACTGGCTCTTCTGGGACTAAGGATAGGAGTTGTGGTTTGTGGATTTGGAATAGGAAGGAGCCCGCTACGTCTCTGTTCCCCAGAATCACTGACTCCTCCCTCCGCACTTTGTTTCTCCAGGGACTGGCCATGTCGCCTTTCGGAAGCCTCTTCCCCTACCCTTACACGTACATGGCAGCGGCTGCAGCTGCCTCCACTGCAGCGGCTGCTTCCAGCTCCGTCCACCGGCACCCTTTCCTGAACGCAGTGAGGCCCAGACTTCGCTACAGCCCATACTCCATCCCTATGCCCCTTCCTGACAGCAGCAGCCTGCTCACGCCAGGTCTCCCTTCGATGGCTGCGGCGGCAGCTGCGGCAGCGGCAGCAACGTCGGGCAGCGTGCTGGAGAGCAAAGCGGCCAATTTAGCCGCCAGCCCCGCCTCGGTGGCTTTGGACTCGGGCTCTGAACTCAATAGCCGGTCTTCTACCATCTCCTCTGGCTCTGTGTCCTTGTCCCCAAAACTCTGCCCCGAGAAGGAGCCCTCCACCAGCGAACTGCAGAGCATCCAGCGTCTAGTGAGCGGCCTGGAGTCGAAGCAAGACAGATGCCGCAGCGGATCCCCCTAATGGCCTGCACCTCAATCCCAGAGTTCCAAGAAAGCGGACCCATTGAGGTGGGGGCGAAGGATGGGCGCAGAAGTGAATTGGGGTGAGGGCGTCCTCATCTTTAGTTCTTGTGTCTCATTCCAAATCATTCTCGCAGTGCACTTTGTAAAACTATGGTGAAGTCCCTCACATGGCCCTGTGGCCACAGCAACCCCTCTGGAAAGGGCTGGGCCGGGGCCCAGCTGAGGCTGAGGCTTGAAGGGGGTGGGGGTGGGGGAAGAAGGTTTAATGGAAGAAAAGACCTAAAAGCTGCTATGTTTCAGAACCATGCTCTCATTGAAAGGTCATGTTTGTCCCGTAGAAAGCAGAGATGGCCAAGTTCATCTCCAGAGCTGTTTGGTTTTTTTTTGTTTGTTTTTGTTTTTGTTTTTCCCCACTCAGTGTGTAAAATAGACTAAATGAAATAAAAAATGAATGGAAATGAATGAATAAGGTTTAGAAAAGTGATTTTTTAAGAATATAAAGTGACTTGCTTTATCAATTCTTCAAAATGAAACTGACTGCAGAACTCTGGGGTGGGATGAAGATATACCTGTAGCCCTTGTTAGCCTGTATTAATGAACTCTGTGTCTTTTTAATATTATTGTGATGTCTTAAGAGCCCCCATAGGGCACTTGCATGCTCCGCTGTAGTCTATTTTTCTGTTTTATTTTTCTGAATGTTTAATTCCCAGGGAGAAAAGGAAATGACCCTTCTTCCCTCTCCCATCCCCTAACTGCAACAGGCCCCCGTAATATTAATAATTTTAAAAAGAGGCAGATAAATAAGTGGGAAGGGAATTGAATTTATTTTATGAAAATTTGTTTCGTTGCTAGTTGTCTCCCTCGGGTTTCCTTCTCTCTTTACTGTATATGCAATAACAAGGTTATTAAAAATAGTTTAAAAAAAAGAGAAGTGGACACTATTAGACAAAGTATTTATGTAATTATTTGGTAACTTGTAAATAAGTGGAATATGAATACTCAGAATTAAACTTTAATTTATTGACACTGTACAGATCTCTGTAAATAAGGCAGCAGCTGTCCCGTGTTTCGTTCTCCATTTCATTTCAAGGTCAGGCTTGGAAAACAAGGAAACATACAGCTCTGGGCTGGTTTTGTTTTTTTTTTCCCTATTTTTTTTTTTTTTTTGCAAAGTACCTCCCTTCTAATAACCAAGTTAGTAAAAAGTCCTAATGCAGAAGATAAAAATAAATTAATGGGAAGGGTGCTATTATTAGGTCCTTTCCTGAGTCAAATGAAGGGCGTGGAGATTGAGGTGGGGAGGGGAAAAGGGGCAAAGCAGAGTCTTGTGGGCTGTATTTCTCTTTTTCTGAATTTGCCCATTCCTTCTTATGTCCAAATGAAATGGGTATGACTACTGGTGTCGCTGTGTGATTCATTTATTTCTCAGTTGGTGCCTAGAGATAATAGCTAATCCAAGTTTGAAAGTCAGGTGTCTTCAAGAAAAAAAAAAGACCACCAAACTTTAAAAGAGGAAAACCCATGAAGGTATATTTTGTGTTATAGAATCGTTAATGAGTTCTTGGTTTTCTGTATTTTTTTTTCTTTTAAAACGTCACTGAAATTTCAATAAATTTTTATTGAAATGTCTCCCAGACTTTGTCGAATGCCTTTCTTGTTGGGACCTTCACAGGAGCAGACAAACAGGAACAAAGAATCCGAATTCCCCCCCCCCTTAAATAATTAAGTCGTCCGCCCTCCCCCCCATCGAACTGAGTAGTTCTGAAGAGCTGTCAATCAAGTGTCACAAAGGCGCCCAAATTTTTTTTTGCTCTAGAAAAATAAAGTGGGAGGGGGAGCTCCAAAAATAATCTGATCGTGCATTTTCCTCGAGATGAGACAGGGACCAGACAGAAGGGGAGGGAGGGAGGAGAAAGGTTTGGGTTGCCTAGCTCCTTCAGATCTTGCTTTCAATGGCAAAAGACGGTAAAGGCGGTAAAGGTCCGCCGGCGTGCTCATGGCTCACTCAGACCTACATCTGTCATAAATTATGGAGCCAACCGGGAAGAAGGTGGGAGCTTCCAAAGGGAAACTTTAGAGATGCCTTTGCCCTTTCCTGTGGTGTATTCTCCCGGCCCCAAATTTCCTAGCACTACTCGCCCCCTCCCCCATTCCCAATTAAAAGTGACCCAGGGATGCGAATTAAAATGAATATGTGCGGACGTCACCCTGGCCTTTCTCAGGTGAGGCTGCTACGCTCGCTAGTCTCCAGTCTCACCTCTGCGGTTGGAAAGGTGTCTTTTTAGGACACCTCTAAAAAGGACTTTTAGAAGCTTCTCAGGATGAAGAAGGACAAAGACGGACGGTTCCCAGAGTTCTCACGTCTAGCCGTCTGGGCCTATCGCTAAGGATACTGCCAGGAGAATTTCCATTCCTTTCAGAACGTGGGGTTGGAAGATCAACGGGCGGTGAGGAGATAGAGTGTCCCCCAAGCTGGCACTGGGCCCTGACCTAAGCTGCCTCGCCCGTGGCCCCGGTCAGGAAGCTGCGGCTCCCATGTAGTGTCAGTTTCCCAAACCTTGGGGAGGAGGGAAAGAGGTCCCATTGCTTTAGCACTGTAGGGGGCTTACAACATACTTTCACTCTAGTCCTCCCTTACCCACTTCCGATAACCTAGTTAGGGAAGCAAGACTTCTTAGGAACTAGACGCTCAGACAGAGGTGGCTTGCGCACCGTCACCTGCCAAAAACTGGAGTGGCTAGGTCTCCCACTAAGGGCTTCGTATAATAACTAAGCTAGGGCTCTTTCCCTCTGGAGCCTGCCCAGGGCTCTCATCTGCAATCTTCCTAAACCCAAGAAGTGGTCCGCCGTCTCAGTGGTCTGGAGATGACACCTGGAAACGAGAAGCGGCTCTGGCTGAGCGCTTACTGCTGGCTCAAAACGCCTGACTCCAGCTCCCCATCTCTCCTGTAGGCCTGAAATCTAGGGGTAGACTGATCCTGTTAGACATTTAATTTTAAAAGCCAGGGTAATTCCTCCAGAGTGGAAGGGACACTTCTGAGCCCCAGAAAGCGGTAGAGACCCGACTGGCCCTTGCCCCCATTTCTCCCCGGCTCCTGCCTACTCCTTCTTTCTGGAGGATTCCCCTCAGCCCCCAAGCAGTCCAGTAAGTTTCCTTTTGAAGTTGAGTTTTATCTTTTAAACAGTCAATAAAATGCCTAGTGCCTGTCCAACCTTCCCTTCTGCATATTCATTCCTCCCCTTACCTTGAGGTGGAGGGGAGTGGAGGGTGGGGACTGAAGGGGACTCCCAGTGAAAGCCTTCTACCTCCATGCCCTGGGGCCATGAACTGGGAGATCACGGTAGGAGCCGGTTAGGCGGCTGCCCCCGCTCCCTTAGCTTGGGGCGGCGGGAGCGGAGGAGAGTGCTGGCCGCGGTCCATAACTCTTACACCTTGGAGTAGCTGAAACGGCCTACAAAGCGGGGATGAGGGCGGCGAGGGGGGAGGGGAGGCTGTCTTCCCCTCCCATTCTCCTCTGTCCCCAATAGGGGAGGGGTGGGTAGAGGAGTGCAGACTTCTCTTGGGTCCCAGAATACATAGGGTCTGGTGTGGGCTTGGAGATGGGGCCTAGTCCCCAACTTCTCCTTGGCCTTTTTTTTTTTTCTGCTGGTAAGCCCCGGCAAAACGGGCTATTTGGGTAGACGGAGAACCCAGGACCAAAGGGTTGTTTTCTTTTCAGCGCCACTGTTCTACTATTTTCCAGCGTTGGAAATAGAGATTGAAGAGATCCTCTGGTCTCTTTGCCCATATCTCAATCTGCCTCTATCTGACAAATGCAATTCAACCAGCATTTGTTAAGAGCCGTGTGTGTGTGTGTGTGTGTGTGTGTGTGTGTGTGTGTGTGTG